AAATAAATATAACCACAATTTATTCTGGCTTTTTTAATTTACTGGAGTTTTCTTTCTGATTGTTATCAGTGTAGTTACATGAAATCTGCAGTCAGTCATTTTGTTTTACCACAAAATGTGATAATTGTTGCTCTGGCAAATCTACATCACACCTGTCAAGTGTTATTCTTTTGCCACAACAGCATGTAGCTACTTTAGGTAATGTTAGGAGTAGAGCACAAGTGAAACAAATTAGAATTGATGTGATATGTAGCAGTAATAGCACACAAAGAGAAATTATAGAGTAATAATGTAAAATAATAGAAAGAAGTCAGTCATTTTCTCATGCAGAACCACAAGATTTCACTAGTAAGGCTACATCTACTTCTTGTGTTCTTGTGTTGGTTTATGAAATGAAATCCCAGTGGGATGCACTGAAGTTTGTGGTTGTACAGTGATGAAATGTGAAAAAGTTCAAAGGAGATGAAAACTTCTACAAGGCTTTGAAACAATGATTAGAAAAGATATTTTAAATCCCCTAAAATTGCCATCTCGGGTTCTTAAGCTAAAATGTGTCACATTTAGCTTTTTACTGCTTCACTTTCAAAGCAACAGTGGTTCCTTTTGCTCAGATTGACCTCATGTTTTCAGCTGGACACCACACTGGGATGGTTTTGCCTGATGGTGAACGTGCGTCCAGTCCTGAAATAGTTCTCTATTTCCTCCAGCGAGCGCTTGCGAGTCTCCGGGATACACACGGCGTTGAACAGCAGGCAGAAGACGCACACCACCGTGAACATCAGGTAGGGCACGTACAGGCCGTAGGCGTCCACCAGGAGGGTGAAGGCGTGCGTGAGCACGAAGGCCGTCACCCAGCTCACTGTGACACACAGGCCTGAAGCCACGCCCCTGGCCACCAGCGGCAACACCTCTGACATCAGCAGCCAAGTGATCGGCCCCCATCCCATGGCGTATCCTAGGAGACGGCCAACAATGTGATGACAGAACACAAAATATATGCACATTATGTTTTTTTGTGTGTGTGTGTGTGTGTGTGTGTATTGTTTCAATGAAATGGGTGTGACAACATGCTGAACAGTTTCTACCTGCCAGGGTTTAATGAGTTTGATGATATGAATGTAGACAAATAAACAGTGAACAGCCAATTTAACCAGAGGAGCTAAGTATAAAAGTTACAGTAAATGAGAAAAATTAACATGCAGTCGCTGACTTCAACACGTGACTGAATACAAGCAGCGTGCCTCACACGAGTCAAAGTGTCTGCAAAATAATCTGTTGTATTTGCTGTATTTGTATGCTCCAAATACAATGTGTAGGTCACAGGACATAGACCATCCAGATCAGAAAGATGTTGTTTGTGAGCATAAAGTTCCTTTGTTTTAATATTGTTTTTTTGTTTGTTTTTTACTGTTTGTATGCCTTTCCAAAGAGTTGCTTGCTTGATCTACAACAACTGCCTGAATGTTTTTCCTGCTTGTTTATCTGTGATAATTAGCTGCACCTTTTCTCATCATCTGAACCAAATGAATGACATTGTTTGGCTTTTTAGTGCCAAACGGTAAACTGACTTACAGTTTTTGTAGTGTAACAGTGTCCTCAGAGTAGTTTTCACAGTGAAATTACTGCTGTAGACTTAAATCTCCCTGTCCTGTTCTTCCTTTCTGTTAAATTGGTTGAGATTTTAAACTCACATTCAAGCTAGAAACTTTGTTTTCATTACGTTTTTGGGGTGACTGTTTGGCAATGGGTAGATTTCTAGTGTTGGGGACTTTCAGCTGTGTTCTCAGCTGCCTTGGCTTTACACATTGTTTTGTTTCAGACTCAAAAGTATATGTATTAATAATAAGCTTCAAGTTTGAACATGGTCAGAGAGGACAAACTGTGTCACATTTCAAACTTGGCTTCTGTTCTTCGTGATGTTAGAGGACGCTCGCTGTCAAAACTCACCGAATATAAACACCACGGTACTGATGAGCGGGACGAAGCTCAGAGCCGTTTCCTGGCTGGCCTGCAACGCGTTGCCCAGCTCAGAGTTCGGAGCTGTAACATTTACAGCCGGGCAAGGCGTGGTGTGGGAGATCATGGTCAGCGTCAGAGAGGACAGGAACATCAGCATGCTCGACGTGTACAGCAGGGCTTTACGTCCTGCCTTGTCCATCAGGCTGGCTGCCACGGCGACAGAGAGGAGGCGGACCGCACCCACGATGGCAGCGTCGTACCTGAGGGGCGCAGAGTAGGACGGGATTCTGCTTTGAGTTGACAGAACAAGAGCAACATTTTTAACAGATTTGTTCTCCTGCGACGTCCCAACCTGGGCTCCAGGGAGACACTGCTCTTGGCAAAGATCGGCTCCAGGTAAACCAGAATTGGCGTGATTCCCGTCATCTGCTGCAGGAAACGCATCCCAACCGAGATCAGGATTGGTCGATAGTAGATGGGCGTGGCCAGCTGAGCCAAGGTGATCTTAACCTGCGTGTTAATGCTGTGCTGTGGAAACAAAACAAGACAAACGCACAATAAGTCACTGGATCTCGAGCTGACAGTTTAGCTCCGAGTAAATATTACCTCCATTAAAACCTAAACGATTCTCTTCCAGTTTAAAACAAAATGTCACATTTTCTTACGTTCTACTTCGAATCCCAAGAAGCAGAACCAAAAAAAAAAAACACAAAAAAAAACTGATTCAGCTTTTATGCACCACAAATCTGGGGAAAAAAAACTTCCAGAAAGTTGTAAAGATGCTGAAACGTAGATCCTAAGGCTGAAAATCCATCTGTTTGCATCTGATTAAAAGTAAGTGGAGCATTGATCAACAGACTTGATATGCATTTGCTTGACTTCGGTCATATAATGTTTACAGCTTGTTCTCATAATTCGTCGCCGTGTGATGCTTTTGAAATTCCATGCTGCTGAAATATGCCACACAAAGAAACCCGACTCGGCTACCTGTATGGCATTGAGCTCTATGCTCGTGTTGTATTTGGCTCCTCTCAGCCAGCGGAGGGCTTTTTCCGCTTTCTGCTCCTGGCCGAGGGAGAGGAGTCTCCTGGGGGACGAAGGCATGAACACCAGCAGGACGACCATCAGCACGGCTGGCACGCACCCCGCCACCGCCAGCCACCGCCACGGCACCACCAGACCTGTGCGTCATGTGGTAACAAAAGCAACGCATGAAGGAGTAACAAAAGCACATAGCCGACATAGCTTTCTGACATGTCACTGAAAATGTCCCTGAGTGACTCAGCAAAAAGGAGAACAAGGAAATGCACCTCGCATGACCTGTATTGTGTCTTTTTCAGATTTCAAAGATGTCGCTCGTTTGTTATCTCTTTATTGTTTATTCGCAAAAGCAGCTTGGTGTGGACGATGTGGGTTTAGATATACGTTACCAAGGGCGTAGAGCGTTAGGGTGCCAAACACGGCTGTGATCTGGGGGCAGGAGCCCAGGGCCCCTCTGACTTTTTTGTGGGAGATCTCTGAGATGTAAACCTGTTGCATAAAAACACAAAACACCTCATATGGTATAGCGCACCAGGCATTAATGTTTCTTTTTGTTATGCTGCAGTCTGTGTGTAAACATTAAGATTTGACATTTTCTAAGTGGACTCCAACCCCGTGACAGAAGCAGAAATCACTTCTTTCTGGTCTAGAAGGCATTTGGGAGCTACAAGAATGAGCCAGAGAGCGCCGCTATGGTACTGGATCCGGTACCAGTAGGGAAACCAGAGGGACAGCTGGACCTACTGGAATTGAAGCAGCCGTCATCCCCCCGGCAACACCGGTCAAGAATCGACCCCCGTGGAGCATCGACAAGTTCACGGCTCCTCCCATCAGCGTGTATCTGAAAGACAAATAAATGTACAACACGTTGTTACTGAAACACAGCGGTTTCAGAATCCTACGCAGCTACAACTTTGGGGCGAATTAAAAATAAAAATATCTTCCTGTCCAGTTTCAAGCACAGATTTTGACAATCATGAGTCAGAAAACTATTGCAAACAGGCCAAAAAGTGTAATTAGCCAAAGTCAACTGTCTTCATTAGTCAATTGGTTCAGCAGTTTTGGTAACAATAGCGGCTGGGTAAGACTGGACTAGATTTCAGGGCTTAAATAATTACTCGGTGGTGAGATCAGGGCTCGTTTCTTGGCATTTCTTTAAAGTCTGACCTCTTCTTTTGTTGTGGAGATTGCTCACACAGTAAAACACCCTTCCTGTTGCTAACACTTCTTCCTCTGAGTTCCCTGTTATAACCACATCTTTGTTGTTACAGTGTAAATGTTCTTTAAACATAATTAGCTGAATTTCTTGTATCACAAGTTTTTTACACTCTCTTACCCATTCAGACAAACTTGCATTCAGGTAATTTAATTCCATATTTATACAAGATCCACAGATTCTGTAGGGTTTTAAAATAAATGTAAATGTTAGTCAAACCTTGCTAAATGCTGGGTTTCTTTGTTGTAATGGATAATAAGACTTTTTCACTGTTTATTAAGAAGGATTTTAATAATTTTCCACTTGGAATTTTACAATAAAATCTAAATAAATATATAGATAACAAAAAAAACTTCAAAAATTATTAGCCATTTTACATTATTTCATTATCTGTCAACAAATCTTGATCTCATTTCCAGATAGAAACAAACTTCCAAGTGGATTGAAAATTATTTTAAATACATCAGGTGTGAAATTAAATTTGGGATTAGCTGTGATGTGAAAGAAAATCATCAATATTCTCCAAGAAACAAAATACCAGGAGTCAGATTTGCACGATGGGCCAATAAAGGGCTTGTTACTGAAATTAACTGTTTGCAATCTCAAGTTCATTGTTCCTATTTTTATGCGTATTTTATAATCCACACAAAAGCTGCATGCCAGTAACTTTTGGTTTCTCAGTCGGACCCACCCAGCGGTCGAGGGAACCGCTGACATCATGATGCTCATCTTCCGTCCAATCAGGTCGTTGAGCAGCATCGCCCCGAGACCCCCGGCTGCTGCACCCAGGGAGTAGATGGACCCGAACCAGGCGGCCTGGTTCGGGTCCAATCGGAGCCGAGGGTCTGCATCGGGACTTGTGAGCTTCGGCAGGACGGGGGACGGATAGACCAGGGAGTAACCAAAGTTGAAGTTACCAAGAACTGCTGAGAACACGGCTAGATACAATCTGGAGTTACTGATCTGAAATAAAGGCAGGTGGAGAGGAGAAGAAAAAAACTATCAAAACAAAAATTATATGATTCCATGCTAAGTAAATAACTTTAACTTTTTAAAAATCTAGCAGTTCTGTATTATTGCACGATTCAAGCATAAAACTATAACTGCACGGTGTCTTTCATCAAGTCGATCTACAGTATCAAGGAAATGTTAAAAACATAACAGTTTGTACTTCGCTTTACCTGAAAATATGTTAAGTTCTGTGTTTTCTGTGCAGTTATTTTTGAGGTTTTCTGTGTTTAGCCTTGTTCCTGTCCTGTCTTCCCTGTTGATTGCTTCCCAGGTGTGTCTCAATCCCTGATTACCCTCCCTGCGTATTTAAGTCCACCTGTTGTCTTTGTCTCTTGTCGGGTCCTTGTCTTATGATAGTTCGTCTGCCGGCACAGTTGAACTGTTAAGTCCTGTGTCTGCATTAGCTCGTCTTGTCAGTCTGTTGAATTCAGTTTCTCTGTGTTTCCGCTCTGCCGTTCTGCCTGAGATCCTGGACTGTGAGCGTCTCATGATTAAATTCTTCATCATCATCATCCTTCATTTGGGTCTCCGCGTTCATTCTCACCACCACCAACCACACCCTCTGACAATATAAGGCTTAAAAAAATGTTAAAACTGCAAGAATGCACTTTTAATTTGTGCACACTCTTTTGGAACCAGTTCACTTCAGTATTAGATCGTATTAACTTTTTATAGATTTTTTTTGTTTTGTTTTCAAGTTTCAACCACAAACTGCTTTTTGACAAAATGGATCGTTCATTACGACGGATGCTGATGAAGCTGAATTAAACCGAGACTTAGAACTTTACAAATACATTCGTGTGAACTCCTCCGTTTCTCTTTCTACTTTGTGATTTTTTTTATGTGCTTCCTCTCGTTTTTTTTAAAGTCTGGAACGATGTCAGAACAGAATAAAACCTGAAACATTAAAGATGGAGATTGCATGGTTGGATGGAAGAGTTGCAGAGTTCACATAGCGACCAATTGAAGCAAAGCATTAAAGAAGAGTTAAAAATAAACATTTCCAACCTCTGACAGAGATGATGTAGTTCTTCGCAGCAATGGCGTATTCTCGGAGTTCATGTTTGTCTCAGACGGCTGTGGAGCGGCTCGATAGATAAAAAAATTAAAAAGTCACCGTTTGATTAATTTCCTGTGAGGAAAAATAAGCTATTGCCTAACGGGATTTCCCGGTACGCGCACAATATCCCCGTTGTGCACTTGGAAACTGGTCATAAATGTTCCGTTAGAAAAACAATAGAAAACAAAATAATAATAATAAAAAAAAAAGATAACATCTCCCTCCTGAAGCGTTTCAGTTCTTTTTGTGTTTCGCTTGCAGGTCATGAATGACTCAATCAAACGGTCCGGGGCCACAGGAGAGATCACAGCTGGTCAAAACAAAACTGAAAGTAAAAAAAAAAATCTGTTTATGTAGGATTTTTGGAAGGGAAGCTGAACTGACCACAGTTTTACTCTTCCTCTGCAGTGAAAAAAAAAAAAAAAAAAACGCACAAAGATGTTAATGTTTAAAGCTGTCACCTGAAAGTATTTTATATATATATATTGCTCTGAGCAGATTCAACAGATTAAAGAGCAAAATCGTCTACTTCCGCTTTGCACATATAAATCAAGTCACATCATAGTCAGGAAGCAGAAGGGAGAGATCCGCTATGCATGTGATTCCTAGATTGGGCCATTCAGAAAGAAAGCAGAAGAAGAAGAGTTCAGGATCCTCCTCTAACTAAACGAGAGGGAACAAGGAAAGTACACGCTGTTTCAGCCGCGACCCACGTATCATGAGGTTTAAAAACCGCATCACACAGTCAAACAAACTCAGAGCGCTTTGCAAAAATGATTCACTTTGTCAACATTATTATAATCTATCACTGCATGATTGGATGGAGAAGGTGTATCTTCCACAGATTCGCAACTGGATTTAGATCTTAACTTAAAAAAATGTGTGCCGCACTTTTCAGATATTCAACTTAAACCTTACAGTTATGAACATCTTCGTGTTGGTTAATCAAAATGCAAAGAGGTTTTTTGATTTTAACGGGATAAAATCAGAAAAAAATGTAAGGGACACGAATAGTTTTGCATTGGAATTTTGAGCCAAATTCACACCATGAATTATAGTTACTATAACATAGTAAAGTATTTTAAACTCACAAGAAAAATTGGTTAGGTGTTAAAACTCATGCATGAAAGTTTAATATGTTCCGTGTAAGTTGATGATAGCACATCAAAGTCATGTGATAAAAGATAAAAAATGTAAATAGTTCTCATTTACAATATTAAGGGAAAACCTAGTATTGCCTAGAGGATGGCAGAAAACTCCAGATTTTGTCATATTGTATTTTTAACTAAATTGCTGACATACTTCCTGATATTTCCCATATTAGGAAATGCTAACTATTGTGTTAACTGTTGTGTGGTTGATTTCACTTGTGTTTCCCCTTCTTGCTTGCAAAGAAGGTGGAGATATGATTGTGTCATACAGTGCTGCACAATCTTTAAAATAATTCATAAATAACAGTAATGTAATTAACCTGATTGGTCTCTGCATGTCGACTAGAAGTAATTGTGAAAAAAACTAATCAGAAATGTAAACACTTTACAAAATTTCACAAGTTGCAGTCAGGAATTAATAGATCCTTTTCTAAATTGCTGACTTTTTAACAGTATCATCTATGCACAAGTGGAGAATGAGACTGCAAGCTTGCCCTACAACTATGAATATTTCATTAGATTTGATTGAATCTTTTAAACATTTTTCTTTCTTCTATTGTTCATTCATCTTGACAGAAAGACAAACCAACTGCTGTTTTACACTTATACTGCTAAAGAGCAGAAAGGACCCTTTGTTGTGCTATAAAACAACAAAACTATTCTCCTCTAAACCAAACAGGAAAAAAACTTTAATATGAGTTGAACACGTTTGTCTTGTTGGGTGTTTTAAAACTGCATTTGATGTGAACTAGCTGGACAAACTATCTGAACTGAATTAGTCCCATGCCTACTCATGCACACATGCAAAGTTAGTTTATTGAACAGAAGAGCTACAATAATACCAAACTATTCATATTGAACTTTAATAGAAGTTATAATAGAAATATAGTCATAAAATGAAAGTATTTGGGAAACAAACATAAATGGAAGACTGCAACAAAAACACGTTAAAGCCCTGATCTAAACAAAACAAACAAAACGATGTAATACTTTTTCGTGTATCATTTTATTTTGTCCATAGATCTTGGACCTGATATTTGTGGACTTTATTCCACTAATAATAATAAATAATAATAAAACTCATATCCCCATTTATTAATTAAATATAGATATATAATTATTCTGTGTTTTTATGCCCTTGTTTATTCTGGTAAAAAAAAAAAGGGAAGAATAACAAGAAGTGAGACAAGTCCTTTCACGGCTTTGTTGGAAATGATGAATTTGCAGTTGATTTCAAATAAATAGACAATGTTTTCCAAAAATAATAGTACTTTCACAGAGGAAGCTCTATGGAAACAGCTGGCCATGAAACTCCTTTGTTAGAAAGCTTTGTTAGAAATTTCTATTGGGTCAATAAATATCACTATTGATTGATTAATAAGCAGTTGACTTACTTTATTGCTATCTATCTATCTATCTATCTATCTATCTATCTATCTATCTATCTATCTATCTATCTATCTATCTATCTATCTATCTATCTATCTATCTATCTATCTATCTATCTATCTATCTGATTGGTTGCTCCCACACCAACTCAAATGCACTCCAATGTGGCTAAAAATTAATACTAAAAGATAAATATATCACTTATTTAAACCACTACTTATTTCCAATTGCATTTTATTTATTAAAAATATATGTATATGTATTCATATGAAAAATATCACTATTTTTGGCCCTCAAAACATAACTAGATATGAGCAAAAACAACTTTCAACGCTCGCTTTTGTCATAACACTACAGTTCCCGGCATGCAACACAAAAACGAAAAAAAAAATATTTTTGACCCTGCACGCGATCCTTACAGAGCATCACGAGTTGCGCGAGTGATCATGAGAAGACGGAAAAGTGGCAGCTAGCACCGGTAGGAGCTGCAATTAGTTGGGGGGAAATAAAGCAGAACATCTGTTTACATTCCCAGTGACAAGCTACCAGAGTCCAACATGGCTAACATCACCAAGAAAGTGTCCTGGTCCAGCCGAGGCGACGAGTCCGGGGCGGCCGGGGAGGAAACCCCGCTGCTGAACGGCTCCGAGCAGTCCAGACCCCTCAGACAGGTACAGCTACCCGGTGGCTAACAGCTGCTCCCACTATAAACTACATCAGGTGCAAAGTCATGTGTTAAAGAGCACTGTAAGATTCTCTTGAATCTTGTTTTGAACGCTGCATGGCGGAAATGTTTACTAGCAGGAAACGGAATGCATCAGCAGGAATCCTGTTTTTGTGATGTGTTATGGCTTTGGTTGCATTTGGACGCAATAACAAGTAACAGTAAGCTGGAATCTAAGCAGATTAGCGCCAATTAAATTATGTTATTACTGTGCATAATTAGATCTAGTTACCAGGAAGTGGGTCATATAACAGTATTTAGAAATGTTTGTCCTTGCTATTGCCCCTAAACTAAGATAGTTTAATGAAAATAAGTGATTAAAACATGAAGGTCATTAATATTAGTCATATCAACCCTAAAAAAAGCAAAACAATTTAGGCTATTAGATCTGCTGTATGCTGATGGATAACTTCTAATGAAGCCAGTTCCAGTATCTAAATGCGATGGTTAACAAATAATAAAAAGCATTTAATAATCACCAAAAAGTTAATTTATTTCAGTGGTCCACTTTAAAGGCATATATAGCTTATTTACACACAGTGTGAATTTATGCCGGCGTTTGTTTCTGTTCATTATGATGACTACGGCTGCTGTTTCTAGGTATGTTAAGTGGAAGAAAAACATTCAAAACACAATCTGTGATCATCTCATTGTTTTTGTAAAATAAATAAATAAGAAATACGTAAACCAGTCCAGTACATGAATAAAATCAGCTTTTACACATTTCTACTACACTTTTTTCTTCCACTTAACTTTCCATGAAGCTACATGGCCACAATGGGCTTCTCTAGAGGTACATATCGTCATTCTAGAGGGCGTCAACAACTGTGCTCTGTGTTTACTGAATCTACATCGTTTTGAATTGTGCTGCTGAAATAGACAAACTCTTCAACGATGTTCTGACTTAGCCAGCTGTATGTTGTCACTTCAGTTTCAAATTCACACACAAAGCCATCACTCTTTCTGTTGCTGTATGTGGTGTGTGTAGATGTCAAGTGGAAGCACTGTATTTCAGATAGGCAGACTGAGCACAGTGGATTTGGACGAGGAGATAACCACAGAAGAGGTAAAGTCTGAGATCCGGTCGCCAGTACTTTTTTTCTTCTCCTTTTCCATGTCTGTCGCTCCCATTCGTCATCTTTACCACCTATAAAGAAACTGATTGTGGTGTTAAGCAGGGAGCTCAGATAAATGGTGTAATTCACGCAGATTATTGTTAGTCTCAGCTGCTTTCCACTGGATTTGGCTGGACTGAAACCTAGAACAGCTGACACCGTGGCGGCCAGAGCGGCCCAGTGACGGATGAGTAATCCTGTCTGCTTGAAAGGGCACATGTCTGATGGTTTCCACTGTGGAGCTCCTTGAGTAATGAATTAATGCAAGGCATGCGTTTCTTAGTGTGACCACCCAGAGATCCTGACAGATAAAGCCACTTCAAACAAGATCCAGCTGAAAAAAAGGAAAAACAATCCCTCATTTTTAATCAAACTGGTCACACACTAAATCTAAGCATTTCAAGCTCTTTGTAGGTAGTTTTATGTTGTAAGTTTTCCCCGTTGGCTTTGTATGGTGGTCCAGAAGGGTCAAACAAAGTACATAAAGAACAGATTTAAGAAAGCTAAAGCTGTCGACTTCGCTTAAATTCTGTTGTGTTTTTTTTTTTTTTTCTTGACTCTTCTGGGCCACTGTAGTTGTGCTATTTTGTTAAATTTCTTTTTTCTAACATCATATCAGGCAACTGATCAGTCTTTTTTTTGAGTATGTCCATTTTTATTCCTTCTCTTTTCATATTCATGTCTTTTAATAAAAATCCTCCTTGTTTTGAAAATAG